TAAATACCTTCCGAGTTGCTGAGGCTGTGGACGCTTGGGCGGCTGCTTGGGCAAGCGGTCCAAGATCTTCCTCGGGTAACGGAACGGTTTAGGGTTTAGGGTTTAGGTTTAGGGAACCTGCCCAGATTTTCCAACCTCAGAGCCTTATCAAAACAAGCACCCAAATCCTTAACAAAATGGGGTAGAAGCAGTAGTACAAGTACTGGAGGTAGGAGTGCCAGTAGCAGTAGCAGTCGTAGTCGTAGTCGTAGTCGTATTAGTAGTAGTAGTCGTCGTCGTAGCGGTAGCGGTAGCGGTAGCGGTAGCGGTAGCGGTAGCGGTAGCGGTAGTGGTAGTGGTAGTGGTAGTGGTAGTGGTAGTGGGAGTGGTAGTGGGAGTGGGAGTGGGAGTGGGAGTGGGAGTGGGAGTGGGAGTGGAAGTGGGAGTGGGAGTGGGAGTGGGAGTCGGAGTGGGAGTGGGGGTGGGAGTGGGGGTGGGAGTGGGAGTGGGAGTGGGAGTGGGAGTGGGAGTGGGAGTGGGAGTCTACCACTACTACCACTACGACCGCTACTTCCACGACCACCACCCCACTCCCGCTCCCGCTCCCACTCCCACTCCCACTCCCACTCCCACTCCCAAGCCCAATCAGTAGTAGTAGGTAGTTGTAGCTAGTAGTAGGTGTATGTATGGAGTAGTAGGTAGTAGTAGATAGTAGTAGGTAGTAGTAGGCAGTCGTAGGTGGTAGTAGGTAGTAGTACGTGATAGTAGGTAGTAGCAGGTACTAGTCGGTATTAGTAGGTAGTAGTAGGGTAGTAGGTGGTAGGGTAGTAGGTAGTAGTAGGTAGGTAGGAGTAGTGGCATCAAACCCTAAACCCTGCACACTAACTCCTAAGCTTGAAACCTTGAGCCTGGACACAACTTGCTTGGCAATGAAAGAGTGCCCTAAACCCTAGACCCTAAACCCCTAAACTCCAAACCTTAAACCCTAAACCCCTAAAGCCCTAAACCCTAAACCCTAAAGCTCTGACAGGTTGCTGCTGAGACAGTTTGACCTTCCTCGCTTTCAGCCGCTGCAAACTTGAACCTGACGGTTCAGGAATGGGTTTTAGGGGTTTAGGTTTTAGGGTTTAGGGGTTTAGGTTGTAGGGTTCAGGGTTTAGGGTTCAAGGTTTGCAAAAGTGATTGACCGGGCATCAGGGTGGAGGATTCAATTCTCAAGGGCTTTTAAGACTTTCAGGGGTCAGGATGTAGGTAAACCACTACAAAACCCTAAAGCTCCCTAAACCCTACGATTGATGATACAAATCCTGCATGACCTTTTATGACCCTAGACCAAGGGAATTATGGTACACTCCATATTCTGGGTAATGCAGTATTCATATCATCAACCGTAGGATTGTAGGCCCAGCCTCAGGCTTGGGAGCAGGCAGGCCCCACAGTTTCGATGTCATGATGTATATTTGATGCTCTGAACTCGAAACCCAAGATCCCTGAACCGAAACCCTCAACCCCAAACCCTAAAGCACCCTAAACCCTCCTACCCCTCCGACTTGAGGTGTTGTCTTTTATAAAATCGGAGATTTTGTAGCCAGAACTCCGCAAGAGCTTTGGGGTTTAGGAATGCTGTACCTGGGCCCTAAGAGTATACAGGACAGATGCTTTTTTCTGTATTGGCTACGGTATTGGGCCATTAACTTACCTACTTTTGGAGATAAGCTCTACAGGTCTAAGTTGGGGGGAGCGCACCTTTGGGGTGTAGCATTGGGAGGTCACGGCGCAAGTTTTCAGGGCTCTGCGGCGGAGCCTTGTTTAAACGAATCCGATAGCCCTCTCAAACCCTGAACCCTCCACAGTCCTGCACCCTGATTCTTGGGGCAGGGAGTAGGGTGCTCGAGTTTGCGGTGCAGCGAATCCGCTCTGGGACTTAGGGTTTGGGTTTGGGTTCATGTCCGGCTCAGCAACGAACTCAAACTGTGGAGAGGCAGAACGAACAAAATAGATGCAATGCATGCACCAGCTTCATGCAGTTTTTCATGCGCTTCCATCCTGGGTTCGTGTTTATTCATGTTCAGCGAAGAACCCGCACTAGGCCCACTCTGCGAAAGGATAGGCAGCGCCGTCATGTGCGCGCCTTTGTGCCAGTGGCTAAGCTACTGAAGTACGTCACTCAGATACAGCAGAATATAGGGCACAGTAGATGTTCACTTGCGATTTCCTAGTCCAGAAATTCTCAAGATTGCAGCCACTGTGCCGACGACATCGTTGAAGATCTCCTGGCACTAAGCAGTGCAAGGACCTAGACATGTCTGGCTTTAACCAATCACTGTGCAAGACAAAGGCACCACTCTAGTCCTCAATCCTAATTATGGAATGATGCAAGGGCCATAATACTTAGAATAGGGCCTTGGGCTCCCGTATAAATATAGTTGAAAAGGGGAACCATAAGGAATAATATTGGTAATTATTTCGACTTCTATATTATAACGACAGACGGCCAGCCTCGCTAAACGGAACAATTTCCGCTGCGCCCAAACAGGACGCGCGGTCCACCCAACGAGAAAAGTACATACTTTCTTGGGATGGCATAGTAGAAACCTAGGACCTAGAAACAAAAAGCGAAAACAATGGACCCCTGAACAACTTATTTCAGAGCGGCTCAAGCTTCAGGCTTGGATGCACTAGGAGAAAGACGGGTTGAGTGCAACTAAGGCCTTGATGGCGGAGCCGGTTCGGGCCTGAGGGCGTAATGTATGAGCCCGATCAAAAAACCTTGGCCCTAAACCCCCAATATACGAGTTACTAGGATTCAGGCTCATTAAAAAACACCCAAACAAAGACCCCTGCTTTATTCATCAGGTTCCTACATCAGGGTTCAGGGCTTGGGCGTAGAGTTTATGTCATCTGGACCATATACCTATAAAAGGTATATACTTAAGACATTAGACGGGGTCCTATATAGTACCCATAAACAGTAATCTTAGTTCTCCCATATAGTATAATCTTAGCACTCCCATCCAGTATAACCTTAGTATTCCCAGATAGTATAATCTTAGTACTCCCTGCTTCTCTTCCACGGTTTCCGGTTATCGTCTCATGGGGGGGGGGGGGGGCGACCTCGCAAAAGAGCTCGAGTGCTTACTTGGCCACAGCTCCGGCATAGGGGCCGAAATAAGGACCAATATTATTCCTAGGGTTCCTTACTACAGTTATATATAGTTGTTATATATAGTTTAATTTGCCCTAAAAACCCTATTCTAATGATTCAGGCCCCCGAAACTACACACCCTGGAAAGCAAAGCAGTTTATTCCAGGCGCTTTTGGAGTCTGGGATTCGTTCATCGTTTCCTGCATGCTTGTAGAATACTTTTGTTCCGACAAAAGATTTTATCGCTTTCTAAACCTACCTGTTCGGGTTCCGAAACAATCGAACTTCAAGCCATCAGGAACCCAGAAGGGACCCTTGTCCAAAGAATTACCTTCATGACGATCCCTGCAGTCGCAAAAACAACAAGAATAGGAGTACTGAAACAACTAGAAACCTCATTTCCGAGTATGATTCTCGGAACAGCAACAGCAATGACCGTCCTAGCAAGAACAGGTCTAATACTGCGATACTAAGCTCCCCAGCGTCTTCTCAAAAACAAAGCAAGAGTGTAACCTTTTCTGTTAAAGTTGCACCGTGTTTAGTTGCACGAAGTGAACGTCTATAACTGGTCGGTTGTGGGGGGAGGGAGTGTAGGATGAAGGAAAAGCCTTCAACCTAAGGGGTTTTCAGTCTTGGTTGTTAGTGATCGGGCTTTGGTAAAGAAGTCTTGGGGCCCCCTTTACTATACTGAACTTAGAACCCTAGCAAAAATTCTAATTTTAGCTGTTTCTTAGGGATTATAATAACCAGAAATTACAAACTGTTTCTAAGTATCCCTAAGCTTATCCACCCCAAAGAACAACAGCCCTAGGTACCCGGAAGCGCTCCTGTACTGCTACTGTACTACTACCGTACTACTACTGCACTGCTACTGCACTACTACTGCAGTACTGCTGTATACCACTGCACTACTGCGGTATATACCCTAAACCCTAAACCCTCTTGGCTACTGCACTCCTTCTGAAGAGCCTATCTCCCCCTACCAGGGCCAGGCCCAATCCCACACCCTTCTTAGGAGCTTAGGCATCTCCCCCTACAGCCCCACCCCCGCAAAGAGCCGATCTCCCCCAAACACCCCCACTAAACAGAGTGCAACCTTTCAGTTCCAACAAGGACACCCTAACATGAAACGGCAAAAAGATTCCTACTGGGCACAAAGCTGGTTCATGGTTGGGCTAGAATTAAACAGGTACATTTTTATTCCTTATGGGGTTTAACTACCCATAAAAAAGTTAAAAAAAATAATACCCAACTAGGACAAAGAAATGATAAAGATCCGGTCATCCCAACCTTTGCATAGTACTCAGACATATCCTTAGGGCCCCAAAAAAGCACATAAGCAAAAATTAAGGTCGGGATATCCCATATGAATCCCCTTATAATGAAGCCCAATAAGGTAAGGATATCGCCATAAAATGCTTATGCTTATGTGCTTTTTGGGTCCCTAAATCCTGGTTCCTTCCGCGGCTCCGGTCTCCAGCGAGAAACTCCCAACTCAAAACTCCGACCCGCAGCACTTTCGAGTTGGAGCACAAGCCCCCTGACGGCCTGGCAGGTTTCGCCAATCAGATGGCGTGGGACAACTCGGTTCACGAGGGTGCCTGCGAGAGCCAGGGATTAAGATAGAGTCAGATAGAGGCTGACATGGTGAGGCTGGGCTTTGGGGACGCGTATACTCTCTGTCGATATCTGCATGTACATACATGTATGTATAGACACATAGATATATGTATACATATGTGTATATATATATATATAGGAAGGGACACAAAAATGCTCGTTTCTGAGGCTGCTTTTAGACCATGATAGCGAACCGCAAAGGCAGCAACACAGAATCTTGAATTGTTCGCCAGTCTACATTGCAATACCTCGTACCCTAGACCACGGCAGCGTTTGTTTCCCTGCCTGCATGGGGCTTGCTTGCCAAGACGTAGTCGCAGGCGTCCAGCACCTTTGTGCAGGCAGAACACGTGTCGGCTCGTTGCGTTTCTCTTTCGTTCCTTCTTGGACCGGTTAGGATGAAGGGAAGTTGTAACGAGACTGGCGCAGAGACCCTGCGGTAGGTATGTATGCATCACGATGGCAGGGAACCAGACGTTTTTCTTGTTGTTGTAACCTTTACTTTACAGTAGCCCCTGTAGTAGCAGTCTGATCTCTGGTTCATTGCATGTAAGTCACCTTTGTGAAATTTCTGTCGAGACTCGACGGAAACTCCTGGCTAAGATTGAAACTCCGACATCCTGTGTGAAACCCGGGCCGGCAGTAGGGTTGCGGGCTTGGGGTTTAGCGTTCAACTCTTAGACCCTTGAGCCTTTAAGGGTTTACAGTTTAGGGATTTAGGGCTTAGGGTTAGACCCTGGAGTGTCTAGGGTTGAGGTATAAAAAAGCACTTCAAACCCCTTCTGATAGTCCCTGTAGAAAAAGTACGGATAATCGCACGAAAGAACCAGGCACGATGATGGCTGCAACATGGTAGCTGCACTGGTAACAACAGCACCGAGTTGAAGACGCTTGCAGAAAAGACATGATTGAATCCCAAATCCTAAACCCTAAATTCCAAACACCAAGCTCCAAACCCTAAATCCTAAACTCCAAACCCCAACCAAAAAGCCCCAAACCCTAAACGCCAAACCCTCAATCCAAACCCCTAAACTCCAAACCCCAATCCTTACAGTAAACCCCATAAAGTTAAGGCCAAATAGTGCTGGGATTCCCTATACATTACTCTCATGGATCGAGGCTATGAGGTTTCCAACTTTGGTGCTTCTACTATAAACTCCAAGCAGCCCTAAACTCTAAACCCTAAACCCTAAACCGCAAAACACGCAAGCCCCCCCCCAGGCACCAGCAGTCCGGGCAAATTCAGCCCTTCTGCTGCGATCCCGTAAACCTCGGGTTTGGGGTTTAGGGTTTACCCTAAGGGTCCAGGTATCTCCTTGGGAGGGTCCGGAATGTCCTAGGGAGAGTCTTTGGGTCTCTTTGGGGTCTCAGAAACCCTGAATTTTGAGGTTCCCCAATTTGTTAGGACCCTTAGGGTAGGGCTTAGGGTTTACGAGCCCTAAACCCTCGACCGCAACTTCGAGGCTCTGGGATCGTACAGTAAGGGATGTAAATTTCGGGTTTAGGGTTTAAAGTTTGAGTGCAGCGCTTCGGGACTCTAGGATCGTCGGGGTTTGGTGGTTCAAGGGCTATGGGTAGGGCTTAGAGTCCAGACCCATCCAAAATCGGGCTTGTTTGAAGGACCTCAGGATCTGGAGCGTTTTCGGTTCTTTTTGGAGGATGGTTTTCGGAATCTTCAAGTCTCTTCGGTTCGGTGATTCAGCTTGACAGCTTCGAACATGACAATAATAATCGAAAACATGAAAACGACGAGGGTCATAAAATACTACTCATGGTCATAAGACTAGCATTACAATGCGTATGAGTTGTTGTAATGGTTGTAGTAGGAGTAGGAGTAGCAGTAAGAGTCGGAGTTGGAGCAGGAGTAGGACGTGGACTAGGAGTGGGAACTGTGGCCCGGGAGCAGGCTGGCAAAGGTTCCGGAGACTTTCGGCCACCTCGGCGAGTAAGAGTTCAAGGGTTTAGTTGGGGTTTAGGGTTTAGGGTTGAGGGTTTAGGGTTTAGGGCTGAAGGGTTGAGGAATTAGCAAGGTGTTTTGGGGGAAAAGGGTTTAGGGGTTTAGTGAGGTTCTTTGCCGTTTAGAGTTCCGTGTTTAGGGTCTGAATACGGTATGGATGCGCACGGTGCATAAAGGGCACACATGCACACACCGCAAGACCGCCTTGAATCGGGAAGTTTGGAGCTTACGAAAACCCTACACCCTGCACCCTAGAAGCCCTGACCCAAACCCAGAACGTCGCCAAGTCTTTTCTTAGCGCCGGCGGCGCCGGGGGCCGTTGCCATGAAAAGGGCTCAAGCATGATCGAAGCGATCGGCGATGACCTATGAAGACCAACGAAGATAGCCACTTGTAATAACGAGGTTCAGGGTTAGGGTACCTTACAGTACCATACTGCATGGATAATGAGGTTTAGGGAGGCTTGGATCGCAGGCAAGTCGAAAGGAACTCAATGAGCGAAACATGCCGGAAAGCCGACATCTAACCTTTGGGAACCTTATATACTTCCCAGACCCTAATCAGAGCCTTCCAATCATGCCCTGCCTGATCGCTGTCCTCACAGTGCCCCACCATCGTAGCCCTAAGCCCCCAACTCTAAACCCTAAACTCTATATCCCAAGCCCGAAGCCCTACCCCCTGCATTATTGCAACCCTCCCCTTATGAAACCCTTAGTGCATCCCACGTACTAGAACCCCAAACAGGGACCCTAAACTCACAAACCCTGAACCAACCCTAAACCCTAAACGTCCAAGGAACCCTAAATCCCAACCTTAGAGGGAACCTAAACCCTAAACCCGAAAACAACCCTGAGAAGGAACCCCCAGCCTCACCCCAACGAATTGCCGAACCCTCTAAACTCCCTAAACACTAAAACAACCCTAATCCCTAAAGGAACCCTAAAACTCGAAAAGGAACCCCCAGCCTCACCCCAACATTCTCTGCAGTCCCTTGAAATTGTGATACTTGTATTATTTTCGTGTAACATACCCCTAAGGTCCAAAAAATATGAGGTCCTCAACGAATTGCCCTAAGAACCCTAAACCCTACACCCTAAACCCTAAATCCTAAACCTTAAACCCTAAATACTACACCCTAAACCCTAAACCCTGCACCCTAAACCCTACACCCTCCTAAACCCTAAACCCTCTAAAAAAGAACCCCCCCAGCCCCAACGAACTTTCGAGCGCCGAGGATCTCTCGTCCAGAGCACGAGGCTGTCCTCCCATCTCTCCGCGTTCGTCTTGGAGGCCGCCGAGCCTGGGGCTCACGGGGTTTAGGGGTTTAGGTCTTGGGGTTTGGGTTTTGGGAATTTAAGGAGCTTCGGGAGTTTAGGGAATTTAAATAAATTTAGGGAATTTAGGTTTTAGGGTTGTGGGTTTGGGGTTTAGGGTTGTGGCTGTAGGGTTTAGCGTCTACGGGATAGCGTTTAGGGCTTCGGGTTTGCTGGGACTTTGATTTTAACTTAAGCTACCAGAATTAGGAAACCATATGACTTACTACAAATGCCGAGTATGGTAACAAAAACTATATCCCTTACCCAAACCCCCGGCAGGATGTAGAAAGTAGATCCCTTAATGGGGGTTCCTGTAAAGTACCCATAGTAGTATAGGGCCCCAAATTAGGGAATCTACTTTCTAGATCCTAAACCCTGAACCCCTAGACCCCTAAACCCCTAAACCCTAAACCACCCTTAGTAGTATAGGGCCCCAAATTAGGGAATCTACTTTCTAGATCCTAAACCCTAAACCCCTAGACCCCTAAACCCCTAAACCCTAAACCCGAAACCCTAAAGGCCCTAAAGCCCCAAATTAGGGGATCGACTTTCTAGATCCTCCCGGGGGTCTGGGCAACAAGAACCCAGCTTAGTGTCTACGGCTCAGCAGGGCTGGAGGGTTTACTGGGGGCTTCGGGTTTAGGGTTTAGGGCGTTTAGGGTTTCGGTTATAGGGTTTAGGGCGTGTAGGGTTTAGGTTTTAGGGTTTAGTGTCTCAGGGCTTCGGATTTAGGATTCTGATTTTTGCAGTATGGGGATGCTGCGGCTACAATTATTCAAGGTTGGAGGTTGTAGTTTGGGCACATGCGGGGTTATCGAAATTATGGCCCCTTTTTTGGATACCCTAAATATCAGGTCAGGTGCCGTGCTCTATTAGGGACCGAAAAAATCACCATAATTTTGACAACCACCCATATGTCTCAGGGTGCAGGGCTTCGGATTCCGAAGAAGCCCTCTCTGCAATGCGAGAAATTCTGCGTGGTTGGCCTTCGACTCCTTCCTAGTTCATAGCTGGGCTAGTACTAAACATGGTACATTTTAGTCCTTATTGGGTTTAGGTACCCATAATAATCTAAAATGTTGCCCAACTATGACAAAGCTTCGACTCTCAAGCGTGCGTCTTTGCATGGACCGAAGTCATCCGACCACAACAATCCCAACCAAGGCTGAGACTGCGCCCTTCCCCTGAACCCACCAAACCCTACATCCTAAACCCCTAAACCGTAAAACCCTAAACCCCTTGAACCCATAAAACCCTACATCCTAAACCCTATACTGAACTTAGACCCTAGCAAAAACTATAATTTTATGCTTCTTAGGGGTTATAATAACCAAAAATTAAAAAAAAAATATTTCTAAGTACCCCTAAGAAACCCCCAAACCCAAAATCTCCTGAGCCCCCCAGGCCCATCCACCCGCTGAGCCCCGTCTAGGCCTGGCCTTCCGAAACAATGACGAAGACGGCCGGGATGGTCCATCCAAGGCCATGGATCCTAATCGGGATTTGGGGGTTTAAGGTTAGGGTTTAGGGTTTAGGGTTGAAGGTTGCGGGTTTAGGGTTTAGGGCTTAGGGTTCAAGGTTTAGGGTTCAGGGCAAAAAGTTTAGGGTTTAGGGTTTTCGGGATTCGGGTTGAACCATGCAGGTTTTGGGTCGAGGGTCTAGGGTTTAGGGTTGAATCATGAAGATTTTGGCTTTTTGGCCCGCTGGTTTACACAGGTCTGTGGTTTCTGTGCTTTTCTCCTATGCTGCAAGTATAGTGATCCGCATTCAATCTTTGAAAACTGAAACAAGAGTCCTTAGCAACACCGAGCCTTCTGCAAACCCCAAACTCCACTGCATTCGGCCTAAACCCTAAGCCTCAATCCTGCTTCAAATTTAAGCAGCGGGTTTCAGTCTTTGCCCACATCTTCACACAGGATTTAGTCCTTGCTGTCAATGTTGCCAACCCGCACCAAAATCCTGCTTTCCGAAATCCAGCCACTCTGATACCTGACAGTGAGAAGTACGGGATGACCTGAGCTGATGCTCGCAAATGTCTGTGGAGCGCAGGAGTCATCTGACTGTTTATATATGCCTGCTGATGTGCTAGACGAAGAACAGCTTGAAGGCATGCTACCTCCAACCCCGACTTCTTACAAAGTTCAGTGTACCTCGCATCCTGAAATCGCAACGCTGGCTCCAAAGAGATCTCACTTTCCCGCCCAAACCCCAAACCGAAACCCCATAGAGCCTATTGACCCTATAAACCCTACATTCTCCGCGTACCCACCCCCCCATCCTTGTGCGAAATCACGAGGAATCTCCATGATCTAGAATGCATTCCCAAAATTTACGGCCAACCCCCGCGTAAAGTACTCCTGGGAAGCACTCAAACGTAAGGGGAGCAGATTGCAGCCATCCAAATATTCATCGTATAAGCCGGTATGGTTCGATGATAATTAGGACCCTTCGGGCGAGAACAAACCCAAAAAACTCTATAGCTGCATAAACCGTGTAATTAGACACTACCAACCCTATAAACCCTCAGTGAGACACCTCAGGATCTGGTCATAGCTTTCGGACAGCGAAGCATCGTCAGCGTCCTCTTCGAGCACTCGCAGACGAATCCTAAAGACTCCTTTCAACGCCCTTTTGAAAACCTCCACAAACCCTACAGAACCCTTCAGCACACTAAACCCTAAACCCTAAACCCTTCAGCAAAAAACTACGAACAAGACTTGATAACGCACACCCTAATCTGGCTTAGGCTTCAGGGCACAGAGCTTGAGGATTTCATTCGCAGGGCCAGGGATTCTACTGTAATCAGAAAGCTAGGGCTTAGAGTTCAGGGTTAGGGGTTTGGGGTTGAGGCTTCAGGGTTTGGGTTAGGTGTGAAAAAACCCTAAGGTTCCTCGCTGGTACGTGGAACCCTTGATCGGATTTGTGTTCGGGTTGCCTCTTTGCCCCATAAGCCGCGGTTCTTGTCTGGACTAGCTACCGAGTCAGATTCTTGGTCCTGGTATGCAACTTGATATCAACACGATTTAACTGTCTGGGTTCATGGGCTCAGGTTTTAGGGTTCAGGGGCTCGGGTCGGTTCGCGTTGACACCAGATGGCTTCGTAAATGCTGCTTGCGCTTGGCTGCGACATAGCTTTGACATCTACAGCCTCCCGCCACACATGGGCACCATGTTCTTGAAACTTCTTGAATCCAAACCAAAGCTGATCGAATTGTTAGACGCAGGTCAAGCTTGTGCATGGACGTGACCAGGATGCCCTTGCCAGCCTGATGCACCGTCAGCACGAACCTTGCTAGCTCGTCAGCAAAGCCCGAGATCCAAAAGACACGGCTGCAAAAGAGGGGACCCCTGCTACACGAGAGAAACAACCCCGAACCCTAGTTGAAAACTGTACACACAAAGCAAAAGGCTTCCCATCAGCACCCAAGGCACACCATGTTCGGTGAGATCTGGTAGCTCTCCTTTCTGCCGAGGGCCCAAGGCGTGGATCTCGCCTCTAAAGAACCCTTCGTGCCGAAAAGCTGCCCTTGGCGCACAAAACCTCGTGCGATGCCCCTGGGAAGTTGGGGTATGCAGCCTGAGCAAGGGTCCCTTAAGGGCTCCTTGAAAGGTCCTACAATGGGTCGGGTTCCACAAAGGAGGGCCCTGAAGAATTGCAATAGGGTCCCTTAGGGCTTGTTATCGTGCATTCATCATGAGGAACCCCAAGGAATAGGCCAGAGGTCTGGCGACCCTGGTACAACTCGCAGGTGCCATCTCAAGCGTCCCGCCTAAACAATCCCGTCTGTGTTGAAAATGCACGTGTCTAGAATCTTCTCGCAAGCGGCAATTGCCCCCAACCGGGATGGACGAGACTTCTATAGGGGCCTTTCTTTCTTTCGGGCGGGCTGAAAGTCCGAAGGACGTGCCTAGTGCAGAACTGTACAAGTAAATTCAAAGGTGAGACAAGGTCGGGCGGGAGCCGCCGCTGCCTCAACTGTTCCCATGGCTTGCAGCCACCCTGACAGGGGAGCAAAGGCAGTAGCAGGGCCAGGAAAGGAGACAAAGGCGGGCCGTGACGTGCGAGCGAAGGTAAGGACAGCTCCAAGGCCTCGCAGTGCATCGGCAGTCCAAAGGCACAGACGTCGAAGCAGTTTGAGGGGGCAGGCTGCAGGAGCAAAGGGGACAAGTCCAGGACCTGGAAGTGCCGGCAGAACCACGAAAATCCCACAGCAATCCATGGGGAGATTCGAGTTGAGCTCCGAAAAGTCCATAGGGTACTGGGTACAGCCCGAAAGCTCAAAGCGGTCCAACCAGCTCGGGTGAGCACTGGTGGCACCGAAGATCAAGACGCGGCCACTGGTTGGACGTGGGACCACACGGGGCACATCAATGCTCGGACGGAAAGAGGAGGAAGCGGCAAGGACACCCCCCACAAAGGGCGGCGGTGTCACATAGATGCTGGGGATGCAAGACAAACAAAACATCAGCAGCCGCAGCCTGGACAGGGCCTGGGGCCAGTCCCTCACACCAGCACGTCAGAGTCGCACGCAACACGGGGAGCGGTGCAATGAAGGACGTGACAAGGTCCATAATAGCCTGATCTATATCAGCTGCGGGTGGGATGAAATCTCGTAGAGCATCCTGCAGCGGAGGAAAGACCTCGAGCTGTAGAGGTCCCAATGAAGCCCTGCCGGCCCCCGAGATGGCTGGGGCGAGCTCATGCGCAGTGCTGTGATCCGGGCACAGACGGTCAGAGGCCGCAAGCTGCTCAAGACGTTGCACACAGAGAGGGCTGAGCCGTAGATGGGTACGCAGTTTGGCACCATTTGCAAGCTGAAGTCCACAAGCCTGACAAGTGCGCCCTGCAGACAGCACATGGGCCCGCGACTTGTACGCATGCGCACGGTGCGCGTGTGCACCCCACTGTTGTCTGGACCAGAAACCCTTGCGGCACGGCAGGCAAGCATGGAGGCACTGGGTCAAATCGGACGCAGAGGCGGCATCAGACGCATGCCACATATCCCGAACAAAAGCATCCAGGGCGGCGATTTGCTGGTTCCTCCCGGCATGCCACGCCTCGGCTCGCTTTAGGAGCCCTTTCCATTGGCCAGGGCGTCGGCGGATAAGGTCTTCCCATGAAGGCCAGTCATCAGAGATAGGCCCAAGCTGGCACGTGGGGCCCAGAGCTTCAAGGAGCCAAGTGGACGCCGAATGCAGCGCGTCGAGGAAGCCTGAATACCAAGACAGGAGTGCCCAGGCCGAATCCGGGCCTTGGGCAACTAGTTGTCCCAGGAAGCGTAACCTCTCGGCATGCAGTGCATCAATCGGAGTAGCAAGGCCGGCGCGCGCAAAGATTTGCGCTTCCGTACAACGACAGCCACCTTCATGGCGGAGGCACAATAACTGGCGCGTGAGGCTAACCAGTCCTCCCGAAAAGGCCGACCACTCCTGTGCATTAAGTGCTGGCCAAGTGCCTATCCCCGAATACACGGAGGAGAGCACATGCATCTTGAAGAGGACAGCCCGTTTATCTAACGGGATTTGCCGGCATGCAAACAAACGTTGTTTGCCCTCCTTTAAGGCCGAACGCCCAAGAGCAAGGCGATGCCGGATTTCCGTGAGCATGCAGCCCGAGTGCGAGACAAAGGAACCAAGGTGGCGGTATACCGGCACAATATCGAGCTTGAAACCCCCTGTAGTTTCAGGCAGCACGACCAACCGCCCTTTGGCCTCAGCAAAGAGGGACCGCCGCACGGCTCGGGAGCCGTGACCGGTATGCAGCCGTTTTGGTGGGCCCGATGTTGGCATTGAGACCATGTGGGCGAAAAGTGTCAACGGTTTCTGCAGTGGCAGCAGAAATAGCACGCGGCAGCTCAGACGCCTTAGCCGCAAGCAGGAAGCTGGCCAAGTCATCAGCGTAAACGACATCGCTCGCCTCGACCTGTGCCGCCCGGTCTGAAAGTGCCGAGGGGCGCGGAGCCCTGTGTCCATGCCAGGGTATCCGCGGCATACACTGCTGGAAAGAGGAACGGTCTCTGCGCTGCAAGACTTTGCAGAAGAGGATGCTGAAGATAATATCGGCCAGGGACCCCCCTGGTCTGGTCCCTCGATATGTCTCTATTAGCTGACTATCCCCCTGCATGACGAACCATGTGTTTTGGTGTAGCTCTGTCGCGATCTCAGTAAGGAGAGGGCCGGCCCCCTGCTCCTGCAACACTGGTTCGTCAACAATGTAGCTCTGAAGCTGTTGTAGGTCACCAGCCGTGAGGCCCAATGAGTGGGCCAGAGCCTCTACTGGCCTGCTGTGCTTCTGGGCCCCGAGGACCGCTTCCCGGATGACTCCGTAATAAGCCGCTGCAATATCTACATAGAGGATGGCAGCACTTTTGTTAACAGCGCGCGCATATGCTAGGAATGCCCTGGAACAAAAGTGGCCGAAGGTGGCAGGGCAACCTTTGCGACCTCCTCCAATTTGGAGGGGGAGCACGTGGTGATCCCAATGGCGCACAGCTAGATCCCTCATTGTCCTATGGAGAACCTTAGACAAACAGGACTGCACCAGGATCCCCCTGAAGCCTGCGGTCGTATTATCGACCGCCGATGGTTTCGCAATCCTGTGTAGGACTCCTCCTTTTAGTCCTACCGGTTCGTTCGAGCGTAAAACTGCCTTAAGCATTATTGGCCAGAAGGCAGTCGCAAGCGAGTGACTGAAATATTTGCAAATGGCAGGGGGAAGGAGGTCTGGGCCACATGCCTTAAAAGGCGATGTCGCTCGAAATGCCGCACAGAGCTGGTGCCAGGTTGGCAGGTCGCTGGCCTCAACAACATCCGTGCCCTCAAAGGCTAGCTGGCGTTGGAAACACCCCTCCACTAGACCGGAAGCATCGACCTCCAAGCCTGCCTCAAGGACCCTAAAGTGTTCTCTCCATTCAGTCAAGACCTCATCCTGGGACTGGCAGATGGTCCCATTGCTGCGTTTGAGCATGGGCAGAGGCATGGGTCCCGATCGGCGAAACTTTTTAGGGCGCATGACCTTCCGAACCGCAAGGTGAAGCGAGGCACAAGGGGCATCCGCAACCTGGTCGGACAGTGCAATAAGCTTGGCACGCCTATCCCGTTTACAGCTAATGCGTAGCTGCTGGCCAAGGCGGTGCAGCATAAAGCAATCAAAAGCCCGACGAATCTGGAGCTGCCATAACCATCTGCCCTGGTAGAGGGCATAGAAAGGCGTTCGCGCCCGCCAGGCCATAAGCGAGCAGCGCAAGAGAGTAAGGTGCAGGGCATGCGAGCGACAGCGCAGGGAGCGGCGCAGCTCCGAGACACGCTGGTGAAGCATGCAGGTGGCCTCAGAGAAGTGCTCGCCACGAAGGCGTCGCCGCTTGCGTGGAAAGGCACTGACTAAACCGTGGTACAAGTGGTCAGTCAAAATGGCAGCATGCTCGCTTGCATCAGTAGCCCACGTAGGAACAGGTGCGGATGCAATGATTTGTTCAACCACAGCCCTGTTGGCAGGCAAGCTTAAAGCCTCAGAGTCTATGCGGGGCGCTTGCTTGGTACGCCGCAGGAGCTTCAACGGGGACAATGTGCAGTGAACAACCGCGGCAAAGTGGTCCACACATTTATGCCCAGCGGAGACTTCCGGGACAACCTGTGCGTGACAAGATGTCAGCTGCCACTCGCAGGGTAACCCGACATAGTCGGAGCGATCGAAAGAGCCACTCCTCCGCTGGTACAGTGTGCCTCCCGGGCCTCGGGCCGAAGTTGTAAAGGTTGCAGGGAGCCAACAATCGAGAGTAAGGACAAGGGCGCGCAGTAATTCACCCCCTTCATCCTCTACATCAGCCTGGTGGGGGCCCACTCCCGGTCCTTCAAATTGGCCAAGGCGGCAGTTGCCGTCAAGGAGGAGGATCCACGCAGCAGACCGGGAGAAAGCCTGGCACGTGTTAGTGACACGCTTCCACCACTCCTCTCTGACAGCAACGGGGTGGGCTCGGTGTGGGGCATGCCCTACCAGAAAACGAAGTGGTCGACCCTGAAAGGTGAGGCCCGCAATGAGAAAAGTGGGCTCTGCATGCAGTACCAGTAGAGACTGGCTGTCGAAGGCGGACCGCTCGTGGACCCAAAGCTCAACACCGAAGCAAGCGTCTCCGTCTCGGCCAGAAGAAAGACGGCGGAAGCCGCAGCATTCCATGGAACCTTTAGGGGTGCGACATTCCTGGAGACCCACTACATCAATCCCCTGCTCAATTAATGAAGTGGCAAGGAGCTTGACACGCCCAGTGCTACCATGGAGCCCGGCTGCATGGGAGCCAGGCATAACCTCAAGCAAGGAGAGTGCATTGAAGGACGCAATTCCCAGGCAGACTTCTGCCTTAGCGGTGCGAGCATCACTAAAGGCCTGACCTTCGCTGATCCGTAGATGCGGTCGCATAATTTGGTCGATGGACCACGAGCG